GGACGGACCCCTCGCTCCGTGCGGTCGGTGATGGGGACGGACCCCTCGCTCCGTGCGGTCAGTGATGGGGACGGACCCCTCGCTCCGTGCGGTCACTGATGGAGATGAATCTCCTCCGGCTGGGGCGCGGATGTGTTTTGCTCCGGGGGGCTTCGCACAGAGCCCTGGAGCCGGCGAGGGGCGAGGGTAGCGGGCACAGAGCTGCGGGGAAAGCAGCCAGGGAGAGTAAACACTGAGTAAACACTGAGTAAAGCAGGTGTCAGCGCGACTTGGGGAGCGCAGAATAGCGGGGAGGTGATGCTGAGGTGGGCACCTGCCTGCTCAGGTGCTGTCACCTGTGGCGTGACTCGTGCGAGCCCTTGCCTGAGCAGATCTCGGCCGTTCTGCTGCTCCAAACTCTGGAAACAGCGAGTGCCACTGGGGTTCCTCTGCACTAAAATCACGGCACGGGGCTATCAACAAAGAGACATCACAACTTCAGCCAGAATGACCAGCAACGAATAAAAAATAGTAATACTAATTTATTTATTTTATTATGCAATTATTTGTCCTTAAATATTAGCCAAGGTGATTTCCCACAGTTACACCCTAATTTTCCTGCTCTCCGTGGCTGGCTGGCAGCACCCAGAGCCGCGCAGGGGTGGGTGCAAAGTTTGCCTGAAGAACTGTATCACTTTAACTGGGATTTAGGTGAAGGAAACATTTCCCTCCGCTCCCTCTCACCCACACCCACCTGATTCTTGGGACAGGTAGGAAATGGTGCCCGGCTCCTGGCTTGTTTCCATCTCTACAGCAGCAGGATGACGCTGATGAATGGGAACAAGCCCAGATTAGCCAGTTTAAAATCAATGTAACATCCCCCTGCACTGGCTCTCCATTAAAAATACCTCCAGAGGAGTTGTAGCTGTGGCTCTGGAGCAAGGATATGCAGAAACTGAAGCTCGTGACTCAGGAACTGAAGCGAAGGTCAGAGAACAGAGTTTTATGGGTTTCCTACATGGCTGCAATACTACAAGCCATTACTCATCAGGAATTTGGCAGAGTAGTGGTGCCTAATATCATTAGATAATCCTAATGAATTCTTGTGTAATCAAATCTAATCTCTGGCTGGGTTCAGCAGGCAGAGGCTGTGAGTGGCTGCAGAGGCTCTGAGGCAGTGACAGAAGGGCTGTCACCAGAGCCAGGGGCAGAGCTTTGCCTGCTGAGCACCTTGAGCAGCTCTGCCTTGAAATAGCTCCAGCACTGAGGGATAAATCCAGCAGCAGCACTGGGGGAAGACACAGAACAGGCTGCCCAGGGGGGGAATGGAGTCTGTCCCTTTGGAGACATTCCTCTCCCAAATACCAAATTTTTGCTTATGGGCTTCGTTTGATTCTGGGTCTTGGTCAGTTCTTCAAAGGCTGAGGAGCTCACAGAAGGCCAGAATGGTTTGAGTTGCTCCCAGCCCCATCCAGACTGGTCTTGGACACTTCCAGGAATGGGGCAGCCACAGCTGCTCTCTCTGGGCACCCTGTGCCAGGGCCTCCCCCACCCTCATGGGGAACAATTTCTTCCTAATGTCCAATCTAAACCTCTTCTCTGTCAGCTGGAATCTGTCCCCCTTGTCCTGTCATTCCATGCACTGATGGCCCCTCACCAACTTTTGGCCCTTCAGCCAAAAATACTGAGCCAAGCTCTGTGAATAACTTGTTAGATTTAAACGGGTGCTGGCAAAGACAAGATAATCATGAAAATTTCCAGTGAAGGAAAACATTTACATTTGTCTTTAGGAACTTGCTCTGGGATGCTGCAGCAGGCACAGTGAGTTCCTATAATCTTACAGCATTGAAAAGAGATAAAATTGTAGGACAGGGTGGGAGTGGAAAAAGTCACCTTGGGAAGGACCAGAGCTATTCCCTTAAAGGAATTTTTGCTGACAATGGGAACTACAGGAGGCAGCCCTGAGATGGGAACAGAGTCCTGATCACTCAGTAGCAAATGAGGGCTGGGCTTGGAGCCCACACACCCCCAGAGGGCTGAGGGAATGAACTCAAGAATTCAGAGAGGAAACAGTGAAAAAACACTACTTGGTAGGTATCACTTCAGCCCTGGGAGCTGTGCTGTGAATGTTTGGCGCAATTTCACATGTGGTTTCAGTCACAGGAAAACAACTTGTGAGGGATTTGTATTTTTTTGTTATTGGAGTACTTTGTTCATTTTCTCCTTTTCGAACCTTATTCTGCTCCACTCCTACTTTATTGTCAGCAATTATGGAAATTCAGCATTGATAAAAGATGTTAAAATGAACTTTGAAGTCTTTTATTTGCTTTTTATTTCTATTGTCTTGTTTCATGCTGACAAGTTTGCACCTAAGCATTGCCTTCCCTGGGCTGTTTTGGAAACATTGCACCTCCAGCCTGCGGGGTGGCTTTGCACAGGGTTTGTCTCTGCTGTTGGCTCAGCTGCAGCTCAACAGCCCTGGAAGGAAAACGAGAGCAGAAGATATTCCAGGACTCTGAGGATCAATCTGTCTCCTCTTGCTCATGGCTGGTCTTCCCAATGGGGAAGATGATCCCAGAAGTTCCCTGTCCTTAGGGAGATCCATGCCAGCACTCAGGGATGAAAAGCACTCCTGATAAATGCTAGAGCAGCTCAGCCTCTCAGTGAAGTGCTGGGAAATCTCTCATTCCCATCCCATTTTAATAACAGCAAGGTCAGAAGCCTGGGGACTCAGAGTAAGGAAGGAGAAAAACTCAAGCCTGCATGGCTGAGCACAAAATAATCCACACCAGCAAAAGTTCTCCAAAGTCCTCAGGATCTCAGACTGGGAGTTGGACGTTGCTCCATCCAGAAGTGAAGTGTAATTATTTCATCTGTTCTCCAGGGAGAGGAAGGAATATGAACCCTCCTGATGGAGCTACACAAACGATGCTCACAAGAATTCCAGGAAAACGAGCCATGAGAACGAGTGGGCAGGATACACTAGAGAGCTGTCCCAGCTCATTGGAAATCAGCTGCTTTTCCTGAATTCCAGCACCACACAGCCAGAATCCCAGGGCTTTAGCAAAGGGACCTTATCCTGGCAGACTGTTTTCAGTTCTAGAAGGCTGTAGAATTTGGATGCCTATGTTTTGCTCTCGCTTCAGTGAATTGTGTTGAGAAAAATTTAGCAGGAGAAAATAAGATGGATTTAACTCTCATTTTCATAGACATTCTTTCCTTGACAAAGGGCAAAGATCACCGCACCAACGCAAAAGGAATATTTCCATTTTCTGACCCAAAGTAGCAAGTTGTATAATTAAGTTTGCATTTGTTTTCCTGCACTCTGATGCTTTTCTGGAGCACGTCATAGGGCAAAAGGGACTAATGATGGATAATTGGAATTCATCCCTGCCAGGCCTCCCAGCACTGACATTTTGCACACAGTAAAACATCACACAGCAAACACATTCGAGTGCAGTTCCTTTCAAACTGCAAATGATAAAACCCCTCCTTCACTCTGACCATGCTTCTCTTTGCTGCAAATATACACAAATATTACATTGACTATTTTGAATTAATATCCCGCAGGATGAGTAAACAATTATTTCGGCGTAGGGGATGATGCAGAAGATCCATTCTTTTGGCAGTTCTGAACAGCAGCTCCCACAAGAAAGTAAAGATTTTACAGAATCTTCAACAACTCCGGTGAACTGTGGGAAAATGAATAACGAAGAAGTGTGAGTTCTCTGAGGGAGAGGGGGAATGCCAAGGCACCCTTCCTGGGATGGAAGCACACTCCTGGCTCCCCTCAGCAGAGATCTGTGTGGGTATTCCAGGTATTTCTATGGACGGCTGAGATTCCCGGGGCTGTTTGAGGTATTTCTGTGCATTGCTGGGTTCCCCTCACCGTTCTCTGGAGTAAAGAGGCCCTGAGCAGTCTCTCATTATCCACACAGGCTCTGCAGCTACCGATGTGGATGGGGGGACAGGGGGGACATGAGGGGACAGGGGGGACATGAGGGGACA